CTTCACTTATGCAGCACACCACCATACAGACCAACCACCAGGACGAGCCAACAGGGCAGCCGTCAGGGGTACAGCAAAACAAAGGTGCACAGCAGCCGCCTCAGGCAAACAAGACCACTAAAGAGCACAAGCCAGCAGCTGCAAAAAGCAAGCCAGCACGGCAGAAAAAAGACAGCTGCCAGCCACGCCCACCGCAGCAGCAGCAAAGCAGCAGCAGCAGCCAAGACACCTGGATGCCCACACACAACATCACTCATTTCCCCCTCATCCTCAGCCAACAACCACCCTTCACGGCCCTACAGCATGGCTTGCCGGTCCTCCGTGACATGCTAAGCTACCAACTCCACGCAAGCACAAGCCCACCACCTCACCCACCACAGGCAATGGCAGCAACACCACCACCACAACCCACACGAGAAGAGCTCGAACTTACCCTGCAAATTGCGCAAACACTCACCACACACATCCAGGACCTGGCACGAAAAATCATGCAAAGCCACCACCACAACCCAACAAGCAACCAACCACACCACAATGACGTCATCACCATCGACAGCCAAGAGTCCCACACACAAGAGCAGGCCACAACGACAGAGCAAGCCACACCACACGACCCGACCACAGCACAAGCCATGACACACACCACCCAACAAACAACCACACAGTCCCGACCGGAGCAAGTGCCAGGACAGGAAGGGCCACCGGAACAGGCTCCACCGACCGCGACCGCAGGCACAGCAACACCGCCACACACAAGCCAGCCTGCAGAAGCTGCAACACAACACACAGGCAGCGGCAGCCACGAAGCAACCAACCAGCCATGGTGGATCCTGGGACGACAAGCGCAACGCTCGAGGAGCCCGCCAGAGCGAAGGCAAGTGGACATCTTTGCAGACCCGCTCATCGAGCCCACTCAGCGGATGACGCAGTACGACGCTGGAGACGGAACCAGCGACATCCTGCCGATGGCTGAGGAGGACGAGTAGTTCCGCCCCTGACCTCGAACCACGAGAACTACTGAGGTGCCGTTTCACAAACCAAACTAACGCAGGCCCACAAATGCCTTAAGTAACAACGCCAGTGTCACAGCCTCCCGCCACCAGGACTAACCAGTAGCCAACATGGATCCTCTTTAGGCACCGTAACTTATTTAAGAGGATCGACAGTGCAGGCAACGGGGGAAGGGTATGAGCCTGGCGAAGAAATTTTCTGCTAAAGCTGAGGGGGCTGACTTCCAGAATGGGGCCAAACCACAAAATCAGGGGAAATAGAGCACAGTACATAAGCTGTTATTTAGTCAGGTGCAGAAAATAGCCTAGAAGTAAGCAACCGTACACCGCTTTTGGAAACAAACCCCGAAGCCAAAACAAGCAAGCAAACGACTTGCAGTAGAAATTTCGAGTGGGCGGTAACCTTCGCTAGAGGCAAGGGTCCCCAACGCACATGTAATTTGGTAATGCCTCCTCGGAAA